GCGTCGGCATTTGCATGGTATTCACATGGCATCGGACTCGGCAGTACGGCACTGCACCACATGTTGATAGGCTTACACTGACTGGGAATATACGAGACCGAGTACAATCCCTCCGGAACATAACGAGATAGTGCTGTATTACAGGTATAGTCAGAACACTAGGTGAGCCCTATAGCATAGGAACAGGAGAGGGATTAGCCTTGGTGGCGAGGAGGCTGTCACGGACTGACTGATGTTGAGATGGTATCCTGCCAACCTCTGGCTCTAAGACTATGTTGCTACTGCTATGTCATGGATAGATTCATGGTGTTGAGGTAGAGTCTGATCCTAGCTTCAGCTGGTATCCCTCTAGACAAGTTCTAGTTACTTCGATGGAATTCTAAGCTACTCTGGCAATTAGTTTCTAGATATTTCGGGATGGTATTTTGTACTCTTACCAGTTCACTGAGCTTCGATCAGATTCTAGGTCACTCTCAGGAGTTCGACAGGAATCGGGCTGGAACTAGATTACTGTAGTCTGTAGCAGATAGTATCGAAGTATAAGTAGCTGAGGTATCTTCATATAGAAAGCTCTCCAGCTTTCAGTCTTGTATTATTCCTTAGTTATTCAAGAATCAAGAACCTAGACTTTTGTTAATATATCATCTTCACCATCAAGAATCCAAGATCTCACGCCTACCTTTCTCAAGTTAAGTGACCAAGTCCCAGAGAACCTGACAGAGGCTTTCACTGTGATAGGCTATCACCAAAACAATAAGAACAAAGTAAGCTGGCCGTAATACAGTCTATTTTCTAATTATCTAGGAAATGGTATCTATCTAGGCTGTAGGACATATATACATGTAGCTCTGACCCCAGAGATGTTAATATCCATCGGATCGGTGATCATCCGCATTCTTGAGGTGATCTATCGACGATTCGTATTTGTCGGATCGGCGATCGCTTATAATCACATAAAAGAACATCGACGATTAGTACATAGATAGGCACAAGTACATGGGTGTAAGGCGCAGCCTGTAACGTTCACGTACATAAATGAATAGATAGATGTAGTGGAGGTTTTCTCCTTAGAATTATTATTTACTACCATCGACCACAAAGTTGCCCCAGCGCTTGTCCCTCGACACCGTGACACTTTGGCGTCAAATAAGTGAAGGAATTGGTGAAAATGCGAAGGGAGCTTGATTTTTGGGTCAACAAAAGGTTTTGGGCCGAGTGCGATCCGGACATCTTCAAGTGAAACTTTTGCACAGGAAATACTTTGTTTCAACATATTTCCGTGTTCTTTTTTTTAAGCTCAAGATCAATCTCAGCAATACAAGTGCTGAAAACTTCTACATCTTCCCGATCTGCTAGCAATAAAAAGGCAGCAGCGCCGACCTTCCTAGGTTTTCCGGGCGTATCAAACTTAGATTTATTGAAAAAGGCAATTTGGGGCGGGTTTTGAGGTATCGGAAGGTTGGGTTTGCGATCAAAGCAATATTTTTGGCAGTACAATTTATCAAAGGTAACTTTTTTTGAAGCCCAATTGACAAAAGGATTATGCAGTGAAAACCAAGGGAGTCCTAAGATAAAATCATAATTTCCCAACTTTGTCACCAAAGCGTCGATTTCTTCCAAATGGTTTCCGATCTGAAGTTTAAGTCTGACTCCATGAGTGATTAAGCCACTAATTGATTCAGTTCCATCAGCCGTAATAATTTTTTTTGGCTTATGGAGTGGGTAAGTGTATAGTTTGTAATTTGCGCACACGTCAATGTCAATAAGAGAAGTTGTAGTACATCCACAGTCGAGAAAAGCTTTTGTTTTAATAAATGTTCCATTAATATCACTAACTTTACAAGGTAATAGCAAATGATCATGGTGCTCTTCTTTAAATGAAGATATACAAACAGTTACTTCTATATCATTGGTTATATGCTTCCGGCGGTGCCTTTTGCTGGAAGCTACACATTTTCCGCCTCTTATAGACGAGCTGAATCTTTTACTTTACCCTCCTCAGCAATAACTGTGCTATACAAAACTTCGGTCTTTTTCTTTTTACGATTTTGAAAAGATGCAGGACAGTCGCGTGGGATGTGATCCCTGGAGTCACAAACGATGCAAAGGTTATTTAACGCGTTGTAAGTGCGACGATGTGCTTTTTTGACATCGTTGGTAGGTTTCCTACCCACATCTTTTGCAGTCCACTTGCTGACTAGTTGGAGACCATTTACATGGATTGAACTGAGATCCATGGCATCACCTCCTTATGAAGTTGTCATCTCTATGTTTTGGGGAACTAGGAGCGGTGTGGGGGTTGTTGTTGGGAGATTGTACGCATATTTATAATGTTTTCGGCAGTTTTTTAAGGAATATTTCGGATCGAAACTTCGTAAAATTTCGTCTTGTTCACGTACAAGAGCAATGAAATCGTGGAGCAACTCGGGAATATCCGACTTCTTAATGAATGAAAGGCGATTGTTGATATCAGGATGGAGTGCATCCTTAAGAAAAGATATTAAGGCGCTATCATTAAATCCAGAAAGCTCTGAGAGCGAAATCCAATGAGGAAGAAAGGTAGCAAGAGGTTGGTTCTTTTGAAAACACCCTTCAATTCTCTTTGTGCGGTGGCACTCTCGTATACATCACCGAAAATCTGTTTAAGGAGGCTAATAATGTCATCAACAGATTTGTAAATAATCTTACCCTCAGATTTAAAGCCACTATCAACTATTTTTTTTGCGATCGAGCCTTCGGGGAAACATGACGCATCGTAGAACATTCGTAATATTTTTGTGTCCCACCAGTTGGCGTTGACTTCGAGCTTTCTGCGCAAGTCACGAATAAAAGGGGTCAGTAGCTTATTGTTGGCTCCAGAAAATCTTGGTTCCATGTAAGGTCTAGATAGTTCTCTTATTTTGCTTGTTGAGCTCATGAGCTCAGGTAGATTGAGAGCCGATATCAGTTTTTGTGCACCTTTCGTCTCCGCTTCATATTGCGTGGATAGATTGTTGTGTTCAAATTGAAGATCGTTGAAATTAAATTCTAGTATGTCAATTTTTTCCTTAGTTTTCTTGTCGGGTATTTCGAGGTCCCCGTGACGTGCAATGAATTTCCTGTAATGTGGAAAGCTCGCTGGAGTTCGAGTAGGGCGATAGTAGGGTTGGCTTGGATATATTATAAAATAGGAGCGGTATCAGAGGTAGAGATTACTTCAGGACCAATGTTCCCGAATTATTTGCCGCAGAGGTTGCTAGCAAAATTAAAAGATTGGGGTGTGGGCTGAGCCCGTCTGTAGGATGCGAAACTAGGTATGGGAATGGGTTGGGAGGTTAAATTGTCCATGACTTGGAGAAAGATGCGTTAACAAGTAAATTCAGCTAGGTGGTGATCAATATGTCACGAAATAAAAGGATGTCCTTATTGATATATAGATTGATCACGAATCTACAAGAAGTCCAAGAGGACCATTCTACTTATTGTACCTCGCTTATTGTTTATACTAACAACCTTAGTCAGCGAAGGTTAAGCGTGACACCTAGACGATGTACCACCGCACCATTCAACCACGGCGGTGTTTACAGTCTCGCCTACACTATCGTAGCCGAAGTCTTAGCACGCACAAAGCTCAATTTGCAAAAACTCCTTGCCAAAATTCAAAATTCCACGCCCGACGAGACTGTATCCATTCTTTGCATCATCTTGTGAACTTGTCCTGGATCCTCTCACGTCCATCCAAAAAACTGTCTCTCAGATTTGTGCGCCACGTTTTACTCCCTCTGTCGGGTGTAAATATCAGCGTGGGCGTGAATTTGGTGGTCAGCTGAGGCCAGAGAAGGTGGAAGAGAGGTGTGGTCATTGGGATGAGTATGTACTAGTTCGTACTTGTAGACTTGATGAGACTCAGGTAGGAGTCAAACTCGTTGGGAGCGAAAATTTGACATGGTGGGGTAATTTGAATCGTTGCCTCTTGGGCCGACTTGATCGGTATTGTAAGGGAGACGTCTCAGATAGGTAATATCACTGGGTAGGAGTTATGATATACAGATAGCTCGAATAAGTAAGTAGTCTCCAAAAGGTAATTAAGATACAAGAACGTCGTACGCCCAATCCTACCAGCAGTAAAGCGACTAGTTATACTCTAGGTAAAAGTGAACTGGAGCTTCCTCCCAACTCATACAATAGCTCAACGTTACATGAGATAAACCCTGAACTAGACCTATGTGGTAACCAACCCATTACATGGCCCACCAACACATATGCTATACGCTAATACTAGTATTTGGCAGGGGATGATGTTGATCCAGATGTATTCCCTGACAGGTATGGCGAAAATTGACTGAACTTGGCTCTGGGAGAATATTTTACTCCCAGGTTCTTAGAGGACACCGCGTACAGGTGTTCAATCTTGCCCTCCACCTGACACATTAAATTAGCGACCAAACAAACTAAATCTGATTTGGCGCCACGACGGCACATGCAAGTATTTTTGGAGGATATGTATATATTATACAGGATGAATTTTTTGAGTCTTATAACTCTCATGCTCACATGTCATTCGCAAACACCCCTTGGTTTTGGCCCTTGCGGCATGTGACAACTTCCGTGATTTTCTTCCGCAGGGTGGAATCACGAAAAACTCTTTGCAATCCCGAACGTGCTATCGTCACACAACGGGCTCTAAAACGCAGCAAGGTAATGCGGGGCGTCAATCTCATTGGCTTTGAACTAGCTTTCTCCCGCCTCAGACGGGGAAATTATTCGTGCTGATCCTAATCTTTATCACAGAGTGGGCTACGTGGTACACCACTGCACCATGCAGCCCTGTAGATGTTTCCAAAATTTGAATATACACTTAATCTTTCCTAGCACAGCATCAAATTAATTCGTATTTACTCGCTAAAACGTTATCACATCAATTGCTGGAAACAAGCACGTCCAGGCTTCTTTAGATCAGGCTCTAATAAAATCAATCTATCGGGACGTTGTGAGATATCATCTACCTACAACAAGTCAAAATGGGATCCTCTATGCGGAAGAAGAAAGAAAAGGCCCAAGACTTCAAGGTAATTTTTTCCATGGAACAAAAATATCGTCACATCTCTGACGAAAACTGTAGAAGCCAAAACTAAGAGTTGGTAAGGCTAAAGCCAAGCCAGACAATTTCACGGATACTAGCTTCAAGTCGAAATGTAAGTATTCCTGATCGTCAGAAGTTTCTAGGCACGATTCTATCTCTTATTTCACAGCATTAAATGTACATACCATTTTGATTTAAATCCCTCCAATTTGCAGAATATTTTGTGAAAATATTTTGAATATTGACCTAGCTTTAATATTTTATACAATTTCTCAGTCAGATACGCTGTACAAGGAGTCAACCTGTTGGTGTGGTTAAGTCGAGCCTTTGATTCACATGAAAATGCGTTGTTTCGTGGTCGCACACCTGTCCACAATCCGATTTTTCTGTCAAGTTTCTCAAAATGAGTATTTCTTTACAGAAAAATGCCTTTGAGCTCATGCTGCATATCATGGAAAAAGTCACATGCTCAAATAGGCTGGACAAATGGACTTTGTCATTTCTTGCTTCATTATTTGCTAGTGTATTATATTTCATATGCAAATAGGCTCACCATTCAAAGCGATTGTCATAAACAACCAGTCATTATCCACAAATGCGCCATCATCCTCAACACTTTTCTCGCATTATCTTTCATTGGCAACTAACTCTAAGACCGAAACCCAAAGACGAGATGCGTTATCATACCTCACTTCTCGGATTCTGAGTCTACCCCTTCATCATAGCCTTGAGGTACCAACATCTGTTCTTCTGCCAAAAATTTTACCATTAGTCCTCGATGGCTCGGCGCCTGTACGAAACCAACTCCTCAAACTTCTTCGTAGCCTCCCACCCGAAGAAATTGGCGATCATGCTGAATGTGCACTCCTCTACGTTAGGGCTGGGATGACTCACTTAGCAATAGAAATCAGAACCTATGCGCTTGCAGTGTTAGAATGGCTTCTAGAAATTGCTTCGGAGGATATTCTTAACTGTCCTGGAGGCTGGTTCAAAACGCTCAAATGCTTCATGAGTATGATGGGCTGGATAGCTGGGAAAGAAACTAGCAAATGGACCTCAAACGGAAAAGTATCGTTGGGAAAAGTTGCGCACACATTCCCCCGACAATTGAATGTATTGGCTCAATTTTTAGAGGCCGGATTGGTTGAATCAGAGGACGCGAAATCACTCGCTGCAGAGGATAAACAGAATCGTCTAGCTCGGGATGTATGCATGTATCCATTGATTGATTTGCAAAGGAACATGATCCCAACTGAGTCAAATGCCTTTTCACATCTCAATCTTTTCGGAATTCCGAGAAATGAAGAGGATGAAATGTATAGCGATAGGGAGACTAGACGAAGAGTACTTGGAACGAATTTCTTAACTGCGATGCGAATTGGAGTAGGGAATGCGCGTAAGGAAGGTGGGGAAATTGGGAGAGCAGCAGCGATAGTGGAGGATATCTTAAAAAGAGTATTCTGAGTCACTTCAACCTGGTCCAAATTCTGCCAGTCTTGAATCACGCTATAGGAAGTAGCATGTTGCATAAGCCAACTTACAAGCGCCAAGATGTGTCCATGAGCTTGAGAAAACGGGATAAACGAGCGAACCTAAAGGTCAAAGAGGAGTAGACGACTCAAATTTTTCCGGTAAGCGATTCACATCACCAGAAGACTTCCTTTCGCTAGTCACAGCCGCTCATATCCTACCACCACTTCCACAACGATTTCATCGCAGAGTAAGTAGGCTTTATCGAGGCCTCACATCTTAGACATCAACCTTACTGGTAGCTATCAGCTCGAGTTTACGCTCTTTCCATCACAACTTCGTAAAATAAAGTCTTTGGTGACTCTTTTCTCTACCACTTAGTTGGGCATTGTTCTCGAACTAAACAACTGCCTATTTAATTCCGGAATCTTTTCACACAGGCGGGTCGAGGTGAGGTATTCTTGAAACATTTGCTCTCAGCTCCCAGTAGCTGACAAATGATCTAGGAAATATCTATGTCTATCAAAAGCTCAATTTCCTTGCTTTTTGATCTAGTGAGTGCGCGCTCGCCCGAAAAAAGCATGTACTAGGAATTCAATTATTTTTTCTAGTATGTGGATATCAGAAATAAGATATTCACGTCTTACGTCTACCTAGAAAATTTAACAGCAGAAACTTGCATACTTATATACTAATTCTCATCCCTTTACAATTAGCCATGTTGCACAATTTTTTTCTGAGCGGGATGATATGCAAGATATTAGGAGTCACGGGACAAGATATTGACAAGATAGATTTAAGAATTGATAGTCAAGGTGTAGGATATGAACAAAATTTCACTCGATCTCCAAACATGTGAACAGAGAAAACTACAAATCCCTTCTCCCACTATGCGGACGCTATTGTCACTCAAAAGACTCGCCCTCTTCATTCTTAGACGACTGTGTTAGTACGGCAACAAATCACTCTCGCCAAAAATTATATATACTTTAATCCTCATGTAGAGAGTAATGATAAAAACTTTGACAGAAACTACGTCGAAGTGTTAACGCGGAAAGAGCGAACGACCTATTGCCTATAAATTGGTGTCACGAGCCGTCACTACATTCTATATCAACCAAACCTCGTTGCACCTAGCTCTTCGAAATTCCCAAAAACATTCTATATATACTGTCACTAGTGATAAAACACAAAGCCTAAGCTCAAAGTTACCTCACCTAGCATTATGAAGGAGCTATAGCTGTTTCCCTGAGCGCACTAGCTCTCGTTGTTAAAGATATTGATGTTTAGAATCTGCCTTGCTATATTATCACAACTCTGGCCTGGATTTAGCACATAGTTGTAGCCTCCACTTGAAACGCCTTTCTTCGTTCACTATTTTATCCAAGTATAACCAACAGGCTTTTTACCGCCTGTTTACCTATATGCTTCTTAATGAAGGGTGAAAGCTTAACACTTTTCTGTGGTCTTTTGTACGAATCTTGGGCTGGAAAACTTCCTACGAGATGAGATTCATTCACAACAATGCGTAACAATGAGAGTCTTCAATGAGGCGGCATTGGCTCATTTTTGGAAAGAATCCCAAACCAGCAGAGATTTCACGATCAGACAACACTACAAAAGCTAGTATCTTCTCTCTAAATATAATCCCCTGACAGGCTCGAGTGTTTTTGGCATTCTTATCAAAACAACGGGCATTGTTTACCATCTCGTCTATTCCCGAAAGAAGTTTCCCAGTAAAATTTATCTTACGACTCTCTCCAAAATAACAATACTTCTCACTTAAGCATTCCAATGTCTGAAGCCGCAATCATAGTCTTCGGTATAAGAAGTTACTCATCTCCCAGAAATTTTCGCACCATAAAAGTACAATCGAAGTGTCTGTATATATCTCGTCTTCACCCTGGCTATTAGAACCAACAAATCGGCCTGCGACGAATCGCCGCCCATTAAATACGTTCTACATTTCGCCAGAATATCAACTAAAATATTCGGTAATGGCTGAGGCATCGGTGACTCAGTGTTGAGCTCTTAGCATAAAATTGGCCTCTGCAGCTAGGAGTACGGCTGCGAGGGGTCAAGACTGGAGGGTTGATCAATTTTCTAAGTTTCTGAAACGACGACATTGAATGAAGGAGTAATAATGCCCTAAATTAGATAAATAATAGAGAAGCAAAAAGAAGGAGGCCCCGATGGGCGACTAGATAGTGCCTGCATAAAGAAAATGTCCCCTCGAAGATACGAGAAGATTCTGCAACTAGGCATGACTGTGACTGAATGAAAGAAAAAGATTAGATATTTGGTATTTGTCAAGGACTTGGGTGTGTAGTGGTCAAGTTTAGAAGTAATTTGTGCTACGGCTCATCAAAATCGTGCTCTCTGGACTGCTGAGCTTGACACGATCAACATCTGGGTGAAGTCTGAGGTTGTCAGATCATTCATGTGAGACGATTTATATGTACTTCATGGTATTTAACCTAATCTAGCTCCACCTCACTCGTGCGGAAGTTCCCATGGTAGTGCAGAGTGTGCCAATTAACTAGCATGTTGATGAACAAATGCACAAACTTGAAAATTTCAAAATTTCTCATTTTCCCTAATTCCCTTCCAATGATTATTATCTTTATTGCGTTCCCAAATTTTTAATCACATTGGGGCATTCAGAATTGCTTTTGGTTAGAATCAAATATCCGAAATCGACGACTACCATTGATACGGAAGAGAAACCATTGTGTCCAGAATCTACAGGCCTCGCAAAAGTTTATAAAAATATTTGCTACCGAGGTTTTTATTTAGAATCATCGATCCTTCCCAACAAAGAGATGACAGAGTCTGAGCCGATTAGCTCAGAAATAATCGTCCATAAGCCAAAAAAGCTATCGAGCATGCCCCAAGGAAAATACTAGACTAGCTTTCAAAGGCACACTTTCTACCGCACTACATGAAGCGATTCGCTCTGTTAATATTTCTCTCTTCATAACGACCCGTACAAACGTACAATTTTATATTAGCTCATGTTGATACTTAGGATTGCGATAGATACCAGAGATTGATGGTGTTTATAGCGTTGCGGAGTTTGGTAATTGTGGACAGGGGTAGGACAAATGAATGTATATATCGCGCACTTGACTCCTCTTTAACAGGGGGACTATTCTCAACACCTATCAGTGGTGTACCCTACGAACCTCCAGCTCTCACTGTAGAGTCTACAGAGCCGAGATTGAGTAACAAAGTCCTCAGTTCGAAGAGGATTCCCAATCGCTTTCGCGGTTTGTATCGTCTTCATCTCTCAACACGTTCCCCTATCACCATTACCATGAAGCTTACCAAGATCAGATTAGATGGTAGGATCGGGGCCCTACTCATCACCAACCCACGATCACGGAGGAAAAGCCATCTGATGAGTTTCCGGAGCGTACCCAGCACCCGATACGGCGATGGTTGATTGGATCAAGTCGACCTCAACTGTTACAAAGAAGGGAGATATAGATGAATTTGCGCACCTCATGTGGTCCCGGTGTCTAGGCCTCGCCTGGCTGGGGCTGCAGGTCTTTTGAGACCTTTTCCCGCGCACGCAGTTTCCATTGCTACCATTTTTATTCTTTTTGGGTAGAAGATTCCGTGGAAAAGGTGGCGGAATTCCACGGGTAAACACTGAGCTGAATGGCTACTCATCAAGGGGAATATATCAATGATCTTACAAGTAACAAAAGAGAATAGGAGCACTGTACAAGGTGTGGCCTGGGTCAGAGAGGAACTCAATGTGCTAGATAGTCATAGACTCAAGTTTTACAATAAAAACAAACACACACACTCCTCTTTAACATGATAATGTTTCCGACTACATCCACAATGTCTATGCCTAATCTGGGCTAGTCATCCCTTTCTATATTGGTCTTATCTTCTACCTAATGTCTTTTCGCCCTTTTATCTTCAATGACAGGTCATGATACTCTTCGTCTTGCTGGCCATCACCTTGCTCAGAGTTATGGACAGATTAAATCTTCAACACGCTCGACCCCGATAGGCAGTTTTGGAGCGGCACCCGCTCCACTTCCGACGGATGAGAATAAAATCCTTCTTGACGGCATCATGGCCAACTTGCGCGCAGCCATCGACCAGTCCACAGAATCTGGTCCAGGGTCGACGTCATCGGCTCTCTCCGTATCATTGTAAGATATTAAAGGAAAGCATCGGGAGAAGAGTCATGTTCTTGGAACTGGATGGTTTTTTCAGATAATGTACGAGTATGACTCACTCTTGCTTTTGTAATGGCTCATCTGTTTTAAATTTTCGGCTACCTCTAAGGAAGCTGGAGCTTCCGCAAGGAGGCTTTTACCTTATCAACTCACATTATTCATAGTGGTCTTCCTACCTTGTTTGCTTCCTCGTCCCTCGTACGGCTCGTCTCAACCTGCTGTCACCTCACATCAGTCTACGACGCTTATCCTCCATTGAGTGTCATTTTCTTGTACTTCATATCCCAGTCAGAGCCAAGACGCCTTTCGCACACGCTGGTCTTGAATTACTCCCACCTGCCCCTACAATCCTCCACCGAGGGCTTCTAAAATAAGCGTCAACTACCCTTCGACATCCAAGCCTCTGGCCTCAAAGGCCATTTGGGCTGTCGAAAATGACAGACAGAACCTCTGACAACGAGAGGGAAGAATGTCGAACCGAGGATTAAGGTTGATGGCAACTACTTCTCTGTCTCTTCAACGACTCTAGGGCTACGAAGCTCTTTCGACCTCGTCAGTAAATAGAACAAGACGGATGCCACCTTGGCCTCCACACCATCCGTAGCTGCTCCCGCGCCCCAGCGTCTTGGAATTTCGGATCCATGATACACTCGCAAGCAGGGCACGAGGCCTTTGTCCGATGTCCAAACTCTGAAAGATCGCGCCAATCAGATTGTCGGGACTAGCTAGCGAGGCCCAAAAAACCAAGTGATGAACAAATAGCAGCTCGCAGTGATTCGGGAATTCTAGTTACATAGCTTCGCACCAGCATACCGAACTAGAGCTACTGTCAAAAGAGCCAGAAAAGCAATCGTCGTTTCTTCAAAGTGTATCCCTATGGTGAGTAGATTGGAACTTAGAGTTTCATAGTTGAACGAGAATGTCTGAGGGCACAGCGATCCTTGGTGAAGTTGTTGAAGGTTCAATTAGACAGAGCGAGAAACCGGCCGACTTTGCGGCTCACCTGCGAAATCATCTCCTGATCTCAGCAAAGATTAGAAAATGTCGCTCAGAAGATGTGACGGTAAGCGGAACAGGTGAGAGGCGCGTGACTAGACTACAAGTAAATACTTCTAATTTCTTATCAGAGTCTTGGGTTTTATTTTGCTAGCTAATTGTTACGATTTTTGTACAATTTTACGCGGTGAAATTAGGTGGGGCATATCAATAGATCTGATTCCAGACAGCTTTACCAGTTCTTGAGCCGAAAGATGCTATAGGCATAGCCTAAGACGTAGAATACAGAAACAAATGTGCTTCTTATGAAACATAGGTACAATCTCCTAACTGCTAGCCCTACCTACCTTAGCTTACCGTCTTACTAAGATATTAGCTCGTGATAGATGAAGATAAACGGCAACTCCGGGATCTTTCCATCATTCGTGCTATCTTCAATGAGACTGTAAATACCTGCCGGGTGATAAATTAATTGTCCCCGATAATAAAAGTATATATTTCTGGAGTTTATACAACAATAAGTGTCTCAGACTTCAGCTGGTTTGAGCCAAATTGAAGGGATATATGAGAAGCCTTAACCTCTACTCCTCCTGCCTCTGCCCCGAGAAGAGCTCAAATGTCCTCTCGTACTTCCATACCCATATCCACCATAGTCGGCTGACTCTTTATCTAGAGGGCCTGTTCTCTGATATTGTTTTGGCCGTTGACCACGTCCACGCCCGTGATTTGTATACTGGATCATGCGGAGTGGTTTTTCTACCTGAACCAGACCTTTTAAGCCCAGACCTTCCCTTCTTGATTCGTCTATCGTCCACGCCTGATATATTTCACTAGGCCTAAGACCTGGCGCACGTAACTCCGGACACCAAGTCTTAATATATTCGCCGATAGGATCGTAATCAAATGCTTGCTTCACAGGATTAAACACACGATCGGAACCACGAGGATCATTACCAACGCCCGCAACGTATTGCCAGTTACCCCAGTTAGATGAAACGTCATGATCTATAAGCATACATTCGTACCATTCTGCTCCAATGCGCCAATCGATATTAAGATGCTTAGCGAGATAAGATGCAACATTCTGGCGCGTGCGATTTGAGGTGAATCCGGTATGAAAAAGCTCTCGCATTGCTGCGTCCACCAATCCCATTCCGGTGGTTCCGTTGAGGAATCTATCAATCTTCTCTTGTAATTCTGGCTTCAAACTTACAGGATACTTTTTATTAGGAGATTGCCATTTTGTTCCATGACTATCCGGTCCTTTGAAGCCTGAGAGACGAAAGAGTTTAAGTCCAAACTTTTTAGCACAGAGCCGCATGTAGTCCCGCCAAAGTAACTCAAAACGCGCTGCTTTAGTTCCACTATTCTCACCTTCACCATATCCGTGTACTGAAGATAAATCTGAATTTGTTCCATTTTCGAATGATAACATACTATGGTGAATTTGACGCGCAGTTATACAACCAAGTGCGAGATATGGTGATAGCTTTGTTGAATAGTCGGCACCAAGTAAGCCGTTACGGGTTTCATGATAATCTGTTATACATGAGGTTGATAATAGATGATGAAGACGGTCTAGAGCGTGAGAGCAGCCGCCCTTAAGGGGAAAGCTAGATATCGCTTTTGATGGATATGTTGGAGGATGCCTTAAAAATGCCTGCGGATGAAGAGGTTTGAGAAGAGCTTCCTGTAACCCTTGCGAAGATTCAGGAATAGCGAATGGCGCGAGTTGGGGAGGTATAATTTCGGGACATTGAGGAAGTGATCCGACTTGCGGTGCTGGCAGCTGTTTCCGCGGATTGCTTCGAAGTGGTTCGACACTCTTTCGAAAGCTGGTGAAGACGTCTGGGAGATCTCGAAAATTATCGAATGGAAGATCACGACTATCTAGTCAGTGAGGTTAAGTTGTGTACTTAGATACGTACTCATCAATGAGATATTTCTCATCAGCAAAGAGTCGAAAACCAACTTTAGCAGCTTGGCACATTTTATGAACAGCAATTTCTTCTATCTTTTCTTCATAACCATGATCGCTTGTCATCCATAGCGCTGCAACCTTGACTTTATTTGACGCAAATTTTGTTAATAAATCTTCTACTACCTCACCGAGCATCCCAACACGAATGCATAAACCACTCCCAAGATTCTCTAGTTCCTTCTTGACATCAATCACACTTTCAAGGATGAACTTGGCACGGTGAGGACCACACCGAAAAAAAGAACCAACTTTACTCCGCGCCTCTGGATATGGGCTTTGAGCGCCGCTTTGTAAAAACCCGCTGACCTCAATTTGCTCCGCTGAAAAAGTATACAAAGGTAGAAGGTGAGTGAAGCCATGCTTTGTTTTAGTAAGTTCATGCAGTATGGGATTATCGGTCACCCTTAAGTCCCGTCGCATCACATAGATCAGGAGCCTATTAGACTGAGCCATCTTCTCAGCAGCAGTATGCACGAATGTAGGGGAGATCGGTAAGTGAGTTGATGGAGTTAATATACAAGGATAAAGGGCTCGAAATGTGCCACGGAACATGTGTCTGGCAAATAAGCCAAAGCAAATTAATAAGGGCCTCACTATCTTTGATTTGAACAAGCTTTTTGGTCTATAATGGCTCCAGTTCTATGCAGGTTGAAGTGGAATAGGTATTCCGGAGATAATTCTTGAGATAATTCTTTGGTAGAGGCCTGATTGTGCGGGTTACTTGATCGATGGCTTGAATTTCTTTAATTAAGATAGTGTTTCATGTCGGATTAACGATGTTTAAGGCTGTAAAATTTGCCTAGACCAAGCTTTTACTCACCTTCTCAGACCCTTAATTGGACTTAGTTTGTTCGACTCTCAATCCATAAACCAAGCTAGACATACTTTTGCATCGTCTTGGCGTTTAGCTGCATCAGGGGCGATCCGTGAACGCTTACATCTACTCTACAGTCATGAACACGAACTCTGTCTGGTGAAGTTTTTTTGGTTTCGTTGAAGCTTATTTGAGCTCCTATGCTGTCGTAATGCTCAAGGTGGAACCAAATCTCCGCATTCAAAATGTATGAAGATTACAGTCGAAGGCGGAATGGTGAGGTGATTGTTCAGATACCTATTTTTCAAGTGACGTCATCATAAAATCAAAGACGTCATGAAATACATGCGGACTCAATAATTGTGATCTGCAATTTTTGTCTTCATCAGTAGATACGAGGTCAACGATTTTGGAAAGAGTTTATTTGATAATATTAAAGGAATGAGTGTAGAGATACCACTTGTGGCCCTCTGAACCTCACCAACCTCGGAACGTAGCGCACTTCTCAAGCCAATTTTGGTCAAGTTTTGGATTTTACGAGTTTGTGTGTGTGTTTTTATTGTACTACTTGAGTCATAGACTATCTAGCACATTGGGCTCCTCTCTGACCCAGACCACACCTTGTACAGTGCTCCTATCCTCTTTTGGGTTGGATGGTGCAGTGGTACACCATCCAGGCCGTTCTCCCAAGTAGATACTGGGCAGCTTGAACACCTACCCCATTCGAGACAGGAGAAAGCTGATTCGAATCCAGTCAGACCCACACACCACTCTCTCTCTCGCGGTGATATAGTACTTGTGGGATGATGAAAGCACACTCGGATAGCCACAGGTTTTTCACGCTTTTCCCTGTGGTGGGTATGCACGGAAGAGGTTATACGCCGTAAGGGTTAACCTCGAGTGGTATCTGCAAATGAAATCTGAGTGTGAGTGTTCTAAACGTCAAATTGAGTCATCCTACTTGAAGTACATATCTTCCCATAAAACCTGCATGGGCGTCAAGGCGCCAAAACAGGAAAAATGAATAATATATATCCTCTTTTGTTACTTGAAACATCATTGATATATATTCCCCTTGATGAGTAGCCATTCAGCTCAGTGTTTACCCGTGGAATTCCGCCACCTTTTCCACGGAATCTTCTACCCAAAAAGAATAAAAATGGTAGCAATGGAAACTGCGTGCGCGGGAAAAGGTCTCAAAAGACCTGCAGCCCCAGCCAGGCGAGGCCTAGACACCGGGACCACATGAGGTGCGCATATTTATCTACATCTCCCTTCTTTGTAACAGTTGAGGTCGACTTGATCCAATCAACCATCGCCGTATCGGGTGCTGGGTATGCTCCGGAAACTCATCGGATGGCTACTCCTCCATGATCAAGGGTGGGTGACGAGTAGGGCCCCGATCCTACCATCTAATCTAATCTTGGTAAGCTTCATGGTAATGGTGATAGGGGAAGGTGTTGAGAGATGAAGACGATACAAACCGCGAAAGCGATTGGAAATCCTCGTCGGAGTGAGGACTTTGTTACTCAATCTCAGCTCTGCAGACTCTACAGTGAGAGCTGGAGGTTCGTAGGGGACACCGAATTTACTGGTTGACCCACTATCCAACAAAGGAATGCATCCATATACATGAACTCTTCACTCCTACCAAAATCAATTGTGAAATAATTCTCAAACATTCTGCAAGTACGAAAAATTAAACCTTTCTTTCAATGACCACACCTGTAGTCGACTCGATTTTAGCCCTAGGTGGCCTTCAAATACACGCCTAGGAAAATATGAATACCCTCAAAATAAAACATACCATAGCGCATAAACATGACTGGCAGATACGCGGGAGAGACGTTAAAAATATCAGAAAGTTAATAAAAGATAAAGCTAACATTGGATACAACTTCGAGCGGCTGACTTACTAGTGGTGTTCTCCGGTATGGTTTGTGAGTCCAGGAACCAACTCTATTTGAGAAGAAGGTGCTTCAGACCACATTTCGCGCGGATACAAATTCAAGGAAATGGAGAAATGCCTGGATATCTCAGGATTTTCGAGTATTGTCTTGGGTGAGTTTTCATGGACGACGGCCTACCTGAGTGAAGAAAAAGGCACCAAAACTTCCCAGTTGCACTTGCAAATAAAATCTATGGCAAGAGTGCTCCAATTGTACACTGAGGCATATATTCTGTGCCTTGTCTCTGATATTGTGTCAGGGCTAGAAAGCTGCGTACGCGAGTAAAACCTGATGCAAAAAAAGATTCAAAGTGCTGACATTTCGCTATATCTATAGGATCTACATAAATGAAAGATCATTATGCGCACCAAAATTTTAATTGTGAGATTGTAGCTGACGCTGAACAACTTTATTGATGGATGGTAAAGTTGTACTTTATTTGGGTCGATCTCTCAAGTAGGATCTAGATAGCTTGGATACCTATAAAACTCTAGACCGACAGTATTTACTGCCTTTAATTACTCCAACCCATCAAGACAACAAAGTCCACTCGTACCAAATCTGGCATATACTAGAGCTAATGGCAATGAGAAGATAATTGCATCATCTTTTGCTGAGAAATCTGATGCCTTAATATCTCAACTCTTTCCAAAAATAACTTCACTAGTGACCATGTCTCCTTCCAATGTGCCACAGGTTCCAGCATGCACTGGAGGTGATGCTAGAAGGGAATGGCCAGGGCTTAATGAGGAGGAGTTCTTTCGAGCAATCCCAATAAAGTCAACTGCACCAGGGTTGGATCAAATTGGATGGCAGATGTTGAAGTTTGCTATTAAAACCCTACCCAAATTTTTCTTTACAGCATATCATGCCTTGTTTCAAAGTGGTTACCACCCCTCAGAATGGAAAGAGGCCATTGGAATTATTATTCCCAAGAGGAATAAGAAAGACTATACTGCACCAAAGGCCTACAGGCCCATCTCTTTACTACCTTGTATGTCAAAATTATTGGGGAAGATTTTTGCCAACAGACTTTCCTTTCTAGCCAACACATCAGATGACCTACTTGACCCAAGTCAAATGGGAGGACGTAAACAGAGATCTGCTATTGATGCTGCCCTGTTATTACAAGCATTTGTTCGGGAAAATCATGCTAAAAAAAAGAATTACCAGTACAGTATTCCTTGATATCCTGGGAGCTTTTGATAGACTTGATCCACACCAGCTTCTTAAGATCTTGGATAAACTTGGACTGCCATTTATTTTCATCACTTGGTGCAAGTCATTTCTGAACCAACGTGGGGGACTATTCTCAACACCTGTCAGTGGTGTCCCCTACGAACCTCCAGCTCTAACTGTAGAGTCTGCAGAGCCGAGATTGAGTAACAAAGTCCTCACTTCGAAGAGGATTCCCAATCGCTTTCGCGGTCTGTATCGTCTTCATCTCTCAACACATTCCCCTATCACCACTATCATGAAGCTAACCACGATCAGATCAGATGAAAAGGTCGGAGCCTTACTCGTCACCCACCCTTGATCATGGAGGAGTAGCCATCCGATGAGTTTCCGGAGCGTACCCAGCACCCGATACGGAGATGGTGGATTGGATCAAGTCGGCCTCGACTGTTACAAAGAAGGGAGATATAGATGAATATGCGCTCCTCATGTGGTCCCGGTGTCTAGGCCTCGCCTGGCTGGGGCTGCAGGTCTTTTGAGACTTTTTCCCGCGCACGCAGTTTCCATTGCTACCATTTTTATTTTTTTGGGTAGAAGGTTCGGTGGAAAAGGTGGCTGAATTCCACGGGTAAATACTGAGCTGAATGGCTACTCATCAAGGGGAATATATCAATGATCTTTCAAGTAACAAAAGAGGATAGGAGCACTGTACAAGGTGTGGCCTGGGTCAGAGAGGAGCCCAATGTGCTAGATAGTCATAGACTCAAGTAGTATAATAAAACACAAACACACACACATTCTGAACCAACGCCAAATACAACTCTCATTTAATGGACAATTAAGTAAATCTTATCAAGTGACAGGCACACCTCAGGGTAGTCCAATTTCGCCAATTTTATTTCTCATTTCTATCAGATATCTTTTGCCAGAAATCAAGAGCAAAAATTTTCTACAGCTATCTTATGTAGATGATATTTCTATCTCTACAGCATCAACTTCCATAACTAAGAATGCTAAGTTCCTAGAAAATTGCACTACCAATCTACTTCAAAAAGCTCAAGAACTAAAGATCATCTTTGAAGTTGAGAAATCCGAGCTTCTACACTTTAACCGACAACGGAATCCTGATGCTGTTCCCATCCATGTCCTTGACACCATTTTGATGCCAAAAGAGGTTGTAAGATGGCTTGGAATCTGGTTTGATCGAAAACTAAACTTCAAAGTATATGTTGAAAAGCGTATCCAACTTGGAAATGCAGTCTGGGAAAGGCTGAAGAATCTATCCATGCCCTCCAGGGGAATGAATTTAAATAATCTGAGGCAACTTTATCTATCATGTGTAACCTCAGTTATTGATTATGGATCTGTCCTTTGGTTCAATCAAATTGGGTCTTCCACACTGACTTCAAAATATGACAAGCTACAAAGCAGAGTACTGGTTGCAATTACAGGAGCATTTCCTCAAGCCCCTAGAAAAGCTTTGGAGGTGGAGGCAGCTATTCTCCCTTCAAAAATACGTCACCTCAAACATGCCAGCCTCTATGCTCTCCGTATCCTCCGGCTCCAAAAGACTCATCTCATCCCAAAAAATCTCTACAGCCAACTTGAGGATG